GCCATACTTTTATTTAGAAAAATAAATGTCTAAAAATGGTCAAGTCACAGGAAAAATAGTGAATTTTGTTTTATTGGGTAAGGAGAGGTAGAGCAAGGAATGCAATACCTGGAAAACCATTTTATTAGCATAGATTGTGTTATGTATGAGTCAGCTTTTCACATTTATGTTTTGATATGTTGAATTTAAAAGTATATTTACTCAGACAATTACAGATTTGTTAGCTGTGTTTTCAACAATGGAACTACATATTGTGGAAATTCTAGCAACTTTTTTTGTTCTATTTTTTTTTCTTGGCTAGTTTATTATTTTTTTTAAAGTGAATATCATTAGAGGATAAAAGGGGGGATATAGTTTTTTAATTGTTTTCATCATAATATAAAAGAGATACGTAAAATATCCATTATCAGAAAAATAACTAAGAAGAAAATAGTTTTGTTTCCCAAACATACTTTTATCCCATGAAACTATATCCTAAAATATGCCTATCTGTAGTTTTTCACTAGTCATTGAACATAAAAGTCTGGAATTTGAAGGAAAGGTCCATATTAGAGATGCAAATTTGGGAATTACAGATTATAAATAGTATTTAAAACCATACATGTGTATGAGATTGCCAAGTGCAGATAGAGGGGTGAAGAGGTCCACAAACTAGTCTCAGAGGAGCCCCAAAATTAAGAGGTTGAGGAGATGAAAGAGAACAAGGAGACTAAGAAGGAACAGTCAGTGAGGTTAAAAATTAAGTGGAAGTTAATTTGGAAAAGTAGAATGACAGCATAGTCCCAAAGAATAGGATGACTGAAAATAAGACATTTTGAGAAAGGGAAATGAGATAGAGCTTTCTGATTGGTCTAAGTCTTTCATTAAAATAAGAGGTAAATTCAAGTCATCAGTGGAGAGTGACTGAAGGAGTCTAATATGAACAGATTAAATTTGGAATAGCTATTCTTACAATTTTAGCTCTCTCACTGACCTTGTCAAAGAGAATGAATAAGAAAGAAAGAAAGAAAGAAAGAAAGAAAGAAAGAAAGAAAGAAAGAAAGACCAAAAAATATTTGAGTTGCACTGCAGGCCCTGGTGAAGTGAGCTCGTCTTAGTTTTACCATGTCTGTATTATAATTATCAATATACTTGTTTGTATCTCTATAAGATTATAAACTACATAAGGGTAGAAAATGTTTATCTTGTTCATCTCCACAAGCAAATGGAACTCAACAAATACTTCACAAATGAATGAATATTTCATGGACAAAATCTGCATACTGTTAAAAATTCCTTAATGGTTGGTGTTTGATAAATATGACTAAGAGGTAAAAAAAAGTCCTTGGTTGATATTTAAGTTGTCCTTCTAGGCCTGTAAGAAACATTAATTAGACTGCCCTTTTAAAAGTAAAAAATATAATTTGTTCAATAAATTAAAAAGGCATCAGTGATAAAAGTCAATATTTTAGAAAAAAATGTTTTAGTTATGGTCAAATGAGAGTCTGAATCTAAGCTACTTTAATTAGAATTTATCGAAATTCTTGGTGAGAAATTCTACAGAAATGAAGTTTCCACATATATGAAATGTCACTTGATCTTTAAGAATGATACTTTTATATCATTTGGGAAGAAAATCTTTTAAAAAATACATGTCACATATTCCTGCCGCCCAAAACAACTGAAGATGATTTAACCCTTTCTTTAAAATGTGGGAGTCATGCCCGGCTCGTGTGGCTCAGTGGTTGAGCGTTGACCCATGCACCAAGGGGTCACCGGTTTGATTCCAGTCAGGGCACATGCCCAGGTTGTGGGCCAGATCCCCAGTAAGGGGCATGCAGGAGGCGGCCAATCGATGTTCTTTCTCATTAATGTTCCCATCTCTCTCTTCCTCTCTCTCTAAAATCAATAAAGAAAAAAAAAATGTGGGAGTCACCACTATGATATCAATTATTAAATCACACATAGTTGTAGAAGGCTATTATGATAGATTGATAAGTCTCTATTCTGAGTAGACCTACACACCTATACTTTTAATTCCTGTTTCTTCAGTTGACTTTGTTTGCTACTATCAAAGTGCTTGTTCAATTTTTAGTTTGTTTTTCTACTCTGGAGTAGGCAGGGAAACGTGTGTGTTAAAATTGTCTCAAGAGTGAATTTATCACTGAACATTCTTTTTAGATTTACCAGCATGTGCAAATGCTGTTTTCATTGAAGAGGGGAAGAGACAGTTTTTGTGAGTGTGCACAGAGCAAAAAGATCTGGAGTAGGGACTTACAAGTTGTCTTCTGTCTAATGTGAATGAGGTTTTACAACACAGTTTAGTTATCTGCCAACTGAGAGATATTTGTCTACCCTTTTATTTATTTGGTATTATTTTGCTTTCTTTCTGATTCTCAGCTATGCTTCTAATAACTCGAGGTTGCCAAATAAGTAGTTGTTCTAACTAGTTATGTTTCTTAGTCATTAAACTAATTTGAAAATTAAAAAATAAAAATAACCCAAGTACCAATTTTAACTACTTTTAGTTAGATTTTTCTTTTTTTAAAGTGAGTGAATGTGGGTGAGAGAGGTTAGTATTGACAAAGTATTATAACAGTAATAATGGTTAGTATTTTATAACATACAGACTATTTAAAAAATTTTATCTATAAACACAAATCAATGAAGGTTTATTTCATACAAGTCTTTCATTGAATATAATGGTGCTGCTATTTTCAATATGATGTTGTTTTGCAGACCCCTATCTGCCTGCATAAGCACAGATGCCAAACTGTAATTTCATAATAAAGAAGCATTTAAAAATATTCCCATATTCCTAAAAAGAAATTCTGACACACCAAATCCACCTGATTATTTTCTTTGTTTTCACCTCAAATTCTTAGCAAATGTTTTTTCTAAAATATTGAATTCTGAGTTTTAAAAACATAGCAAGTACTGAATAAAATCTCAAGTGCTCAGTAGAACTGAAATGAACCAACAAGTATTTTCCAGTAAACTATCACACAAGCTGAGAAATATAAATTTGAAACAGAAAAAGGATACAAGTACTACTGCTGATCTAGAAGTAATTAAATAATCTTAAAATACAAGTGATTTATGATGTTCTTTTAACAAGGAAATTGCGAATGCTGAAGTTCTAGTACTAAGCTAGTCTTATAGTGCAGAGAAAACTTAGATAACATAGCTGTTAAGATTTTTATACCCATTTTCTGAAATAAGGCAGAAATATATTTTTATTACATATTGTGTATTTTCCCCAATATATTTGTGGAAAAAAAATGCCAATGAACCAACTCTTAAATTGGTTCTCAGGGGCCATTTGTTTAAAAATAAGCAATGAAAAAGTTTCTGCTAAAACCTATGCACACATGTAGAATCCAGACCTTTCTGTGCTCTTCTATATAAGGTTGCAACCAGAGCAAATTATGTGCCACAGCAAAGGCATAAAAAGCTGGGTAAGAATCTTGTTTCACTGCAAGAAATTAGAACTCCAGAAATTGCTATAAGGCTCACAAGGCAGACTCTACACAGAATGAAAGCTCTAGATTGTATCTTATTTTTTCTCAAATGGGAAAAAACAGGCTAGGGTTAATCCAAAACAAAACTATCTTAAGCTAAAATGATAGAGTTTATTACAACTCCCCAAATATTAAAGAGAGCTCTTAAGAATATAACTTGAATAAGGGTCATGAACTGGTTCAACATATTTCACTGGTGGCTTTATGAATTACAATGAATGCTGCTACTCTCTAAAAACGAATATATCAAAGAGGAAATAACCTCCTTGGCATGCTTACAGCTATACAACACATTAGTTTCATTACTTTCAAGTGCCAGTGCTGGAGGCTCAGAGTAAGTCAACGGGAGGAAGACTTCAGTCACAGCAGCAAGCAGGTCTACTGAGCAGATAAAGGAACAAGCGAGTAAGAGGTAAGTATTTAACAAATAATACACAATTAATCTATACATTTTCTTCAAAAATTTTGCTACTATAATCTTTCATTTCTATTCAGTGGTTTAAAAATCAAAATGAAAAATTTACCAATTTTAAAGGGAAAATTTTTAATATGCGATTTGTAGATTTTATGAATAAATGTTTTAATCATCCTCTTAGCTTCTCCTTTCCAAGGAAACTGAGGAAGTTAAGAAAAAAATTACTATTTAAAACAAAGAAACAAAAAAACTGGTTTAAATTTGGCATAAAGTGATAAATTTGGAAAATATCTGTTGTAGAAACATGCTTTCTTTAAAAGATGAAATTACTAAAAACAATTATTTGGATTCTAGTAATACGTATATATATTTTTCTTCTCTTAAATGAAAGGAGTCCTAAAATGCTTTATGGAAATAGTGTTTATATCAATATTAAGATAAGCCTGGTCAGGAAAAGACAACCTACAGATAAAAATTCCTAGCTGGTAAATTATTTATTTACACTTTAGGTGGGCTAAGAGTGTTTCTAGGTTTGTGGCTATTGTGTACCAAAAGGTTCAATTCAGAACTATTTACTGCTTTGACGTTTCTATTCTTCTGTACGTATTCTAAAGTAAAGGTAACAACTAATGTTTTATTATAACCACTGAAATATCAGAAACACGTTTGTAAGAACTTGCAGTACTGTCACAAACGCACAGGAGACTTATTGAGAAGGGAGAGGCTGCTAAGTTCAAGTGTTCTTCTAATTGTTTTTTGAAAATAAATAAAATAATTCAATTCATATTATATTGTATCTAAGAAGAACTCTCTGATATTCAAATTCCAACACAATCATACCACTATAGGAAAAAAAAAGAGAGAAACTAATAAGTCTTTTTTTTTTTTTTTTACAGCGAGCAGTTTATTTCACTAAGCCTTCTGAAATCCGAGCCTCTGCAGAATACTTAACACTTGGGCCTTCCATACAGACATGGACTGATGCATGTATGCTCTCATTTTAGAGAACCTAAAATTGTTTTTAAAGGAAGGAATCAACTTTGACTTCAAGTATTTGGCATGGGTTCAAGGCCTTAAAAAAGTAGATGACCAGTTTGGCTACTGACCATGCTGACCATTGTCTGGAATTGGATCAAATCACAGAAATACAGCAAATGGCTTTCTCTTATAGAACATCTGAACAAAGCACAATTCCTGAGCTCATTTTGCAGAGCTCATTTGATCACTTAATCTCTTCTAACTGGTCTGGATTACAGACAGAATCGATACCAGAAGAAATGAAACAGATTGGTGAGGAACAGGGAAACAAACCACGCTGGGCAGCTCTCCTGATACTCATGGTGATAATACCCACAATTGGTGGAAACATCCTTGTTATTCTGGCTGTTTCACTGGAGAAAAAGCTGCAGTATGCTACCAATTATTTTCTAATGTCCCTGGCAGTGGCTGATTTGCTGGTTGGATTGTTTGTGATGCCAATTGCCCTCTTGACAATAATGTTTGGTAAGTATTTCACCTTGTTCCTGCCATCAAATCAAACAACTATGATATACTACTAGAGAAATGAATACTTATTTAATCTTTAAAGATAAACCTGAACTATTTAACCATACCAGTGAGTAAACAGTTCATTGTTCATCATTTTCTATGGTAGTTTATTTATTTTTTAAATACTTTTTTATTTTTTGATTACAGTTGACATACAATTATTATATTAGTTTCAGGTTTTCTATGGTAGTTTTAAAGAACAAAAAAATAATAATTTTCTAGAAATAATTCTACTCCCTCCTTAGCCATCTAATAAAATAATTTCAAAACTCATCCAAGTTAGCAATATTCATAGATTCTGCATACATTAACAAAAAATTGTAGTGAAGAACAGAATACTCTTGAACTCTCCTACTATTAATACTTTTTTTTCTTGACAAAGCCATAGATGGGACACTTCTGTAACTGTTACATGTTGGGTTAATTATTAATAATAAGGTCTTTGAATCATGAAATTTGAATTTAATCACCAAACCTCCATTTAAAAATTAGAATTATTCTAAAAATTCTTTTTATATCTTTTTATAGTTTGTGTATTTTAGACTTAGACACAATTCTTTTACATGTGTAATGTTTAAGAAAAAAATTACATTTAGTTGCTGAAGGAAATGGTCTGACTTAGAGTCCCAACAGATGACCCATGTGTTTAATTTTTATGATTTCTGACCATTCATATCCTTAATATATAAGAGGAATCAGATCTCTAGGTTATTAAAATAAGTGACCAATACCTGAGCTATTACAATAAAAAATATATTTTGACATTGAAATTTTAGTTTGTTATAATGAAAAGATAATGATATAAGTAGTTCCTGATTCTGTATATCATCTCCAGTCATAGAATTTGAGTAAACACAAATAATTCTGCTGATGAATTATAAGGATTCCTAAGAGTCAGCATAAAGAGGATATTTAACTTATTTAATGCTTGGCATAAACTGATATTCCTTTCATTAAATGCTTAAGCAAAATGATTATTTGTAAGAGAATAGGGCTTCTTGGAATTACATTTATATGGTGAAGATAAAAATGTTTCAGGTTATAGAAGTAAAATTTATTTAACTACAATGCATATTAGGAGGTGAAGAAAAACTGCCATTCAAACTTTTATATTTGGGTTGAAATACTACATTTTTATAATTGTAGAAAGTTATCTAAAATTAAGTACTTGATCCCCCAAACATAGTCGAATGGTGACGGGCTGAAACTTCCCACTGAAAACCAACATTTACCCAGGCTTTAATGTCTGAAGCAGAGCAAGCAGTGAATAAGGTTTTGCTGCTTTAATAGATTCTCTAGTCAGTCATACTGTCTTTCTATCTATCTTCCTCCTTTATAAATTCATAATCTTTTGAATAATCTAGTGCTACACATAACCATGAAAAATAATTAAGAAATTGTACTCTAATAAACAACCTTAATTCTTAATGAATTTTAAAAGAAATATAGTAAATGAGGATTATGTAGGAACATTTACAAACAGTAAAGATCGTAATTATTAGATTCAAGCTCTATCTCCAGACACACAACAGTAGCCTAATGTGTAAAATCATACTCAAGCTGTGTTTTGCTAGGCATACAGAAAATCTTAAAACACTCATCTCAAACTAACATACAATTTAACTGATATGTTATATTAAATAAATGAAACTGAACGAATTATGCAGAAGTAAATTTTAACTTTAAAATCCATGAGACAATAAACATCAAACACCTACTCTACATAAAATACTCTGGTAGATACTTAAACATTATCAGCTAAATAGTTAAAGAATCTGAAAAGGCAAACTTCCATTGTATTAAAGTGAGATGACAAATGAAACACAAAAACAGATAAGAAAGGTAATTCCGTGTATTCCATATGGAAAATAGTAGGTATGCAGCAGCTGAAAACTAAGATATTATTTAAAGTTTGAGGGCCCAAGATGTTCTTAGCAATAAAAGTTAGCAGGAAGCCCAACATATGTGGAATACCTTTCTATTTATGTCCTAAATAATATGTGTATTTTTAACTACATTACATTCTTCCTAATATGCAATGTTAATTTTAAATTACAAAATAAAATCTTTCATAGCCCCAAACACTTTTACTATCAGAAAATTAAGCTGTGTAATAGAGTTAGATTTTCAAAAAATGAACCCGGGAACTTAACCACTATTTAAAACATTGCATTGATTCATTATTGAAAACACTGTATTTCTATGAGAAAGCATATGAAGAAAATGCATTCTGTCCTCTAAAAAGCTTCAAGAACAATGCCTTCATATGTTGGGAACTGCACATACTATAAAAAGGGACCTAACTTCAAATACTAAGATTTTTTTGACAGCCTTTCACATGCCAACAATTAGTAAGACTTTTTAAATTAATGCACTTATAAGATTTTCTAACTTTAAATGGCAGGAACAGATTTTGTGTCTTTTCTCTCATTACAGAGAGAATCCTCAGAACTTCTAAAGTCTGTACAAAGAAAAGTATCTCTGGTTCTTATATACATAAAAAGTTAATTACCACTATGATGAAGAGTGATTCTAGTTATCTCAGGGAAATTCAATTAAAGTAACAAAGAAACTTTATATTAGCTAGTATTCTAATAAAATTAGGTATAAAAAAAAGGAGAGCATTGAATTTTTAGAAGTGGCTCATACTGAGGAATATTTTATTCCACCAATGATTTATATATTGTTTGAAATTTTATTTTACCAAGATTATGACACCTGGCATAACGTGGTCTTTCAAATGAGTACTCGTCAACTTTTTTGTCACTTCTCCCTTTCTGGGAGCATTGGACTTAACACCTCGACTATACATTTCTACTTTTTACTGTCTTGCCTATATCCATAATCACAAATTAGTAACTTTTATAGCTTAAGTCTTGAAAATGTCTACATTAGAATTGAGTAGGACACAAAGGAAAAAAGAACATCATATGCCGATATAAAAAAGATAGGATGTTCAGTTTAAGATGTCTCTTAATTTTTCCTTTCCTTGTTAAACAAATGATTTAAAATGTAAAGATAGAATATACAGCATTTGGTCATCCTTGATCATTATTGATTTATTTATAACTTAAAATTTAATCCATGTCTCATGATCTGGAAGTTTCTGTGGTACAGGTGAAAGAGGGTGTATAAAACAACTAAAAGATTGGGGGAGGAGGGAAGGGTGTTTGAAGAAAGACACCCAGGCTTTGAATCCTGGTCTCCTGTGTTAACTTAGGTAAACCACTTAACACCTTGTCTGTAATAGAGGTATGCTAAATCATACTATGGTATCTTGTGAAATTGTCAAGTAGGGCCCAGGACATTATAGGCACTAATAATTGGCAAGTATTAGTACAGTATGCAAAAGGGTTTATGTACTTAAATACGTGATTTAGTTTAGGTTTTTTTTTTTTAATCCTTATCCGAGGACATTTTTCCATTTTTTGTTCAGGTAGAGTGGGAGGGAGAGAGAGGAAGAGAGAGAGAGAGAAACATTGACATGAAAGGGACACATCGAGTGGCTGCCACCCACACGACCAACCAGGGCCGGAGACAAACTGCAACCGAGGTACATGCCCTTAGTGGGAACCGAACCCAGGTCTCTCTGGACCGCAGGCCGACACTTTAACCGCTGAGCCAAACTGGCCAGGGTCATGATTTAGTTTAGATGCAAGTCTGAACAGAAATGAAAGAGATGTACAGTAGTAAAAATTTTAAAACATCAGTTATTAATTTATGAAATGAAATGCTGCTCTACCCATTTATTTTTTTCCTTTACCAGTGGATATTTTTCCATTGATTTTCAGACAGACTGGGAGGGAGAGAGGGAGAGAGAAACATTGATGTGAGAGAGACACAGCGACTGCCTGCCTCCCACATGACCCCAACCATGGCCAGGGGATCAAACCTGCAAATGAGGTACATGCCCTTGACTGGAATTGGACCCATGACTCTTTGGTCTGAAAGCCAATACTTTAACTGCTGAGCCAAACCAGCTAGGGCTGTTCTACCTAATTCTTAAATGAGGGAGCAAAACAATTAAAGGGACTTCTTTTTGGAAAGTGGAAAATTTAAAAATCAAGGAAAACTTTTCATAAGCATTAAATCACTTGAAACATTTTAAGCACTATCATATCGGACATCTAACCCCAGAACATTTCATATGCTCAAATGTAGTGGAAAAAAAGCAAATATAAAACAGCTTTATAATAAAAACTAAAACACTTATCTATGTCTCTCTTTTCTGGAAAGTAAAGATAGAAACATAAAAATTAAAACATAAAGATTAAAAAAATGTATACTTGAAACCATGTCCTTTTTGGATATTAGAATAATTTAGGATTTGTCCTGCTTCAACCCATTCGTGAACTATTTACCTCTGTGAGCTCTAGAGGCACAGCCCTCTAGGAATGGCTTTAGAAATAGTCTTTTAAATCCTCCAAAGGGAACTATCTTATGCCCCAGATTTACAGATTAATGTGAATTACTTTAGAAAGAACTCAGCTTTCTAAACTAAAAAGTTACCCAAAGGGTAAGCAGGTTTCAGATAAAAATGAATCTATCTCATCAAGAAGATTTTAGCTTCTTGTTAAAAACCAGTTTCTGGTTTAAAAATTCAGGTTTTTATACCATTTACAAAGTGCACCCCCCAAAAAAAAGAACAAAGGAAAAAAAACAGAAAAAAAATATGGCAATGCATATAGGTTATTTGTGTTTCTTTGCCATTTATATAAGTTAGTAAAAGGGATACTTTCATGACAAATTAAAAGTTAAACAGTTAAACATGATCTCATATCCTTTTTTTGAAGTACAGCTTTAAGTTCAACTGGATATAGACAGGAGATAAACATACTGATTTTATACTGACGATGTGGCTTATTGTTTCTAAGTAGAAGTGTTTTAATGGCTGGGCTAGTTTCTGTCAAACAATAACAGTACATTTATTGAGTGCTATATCTATACCAGACATT